TATAAGGGATAACAAACAGCTCAAAGCAGATTACTGAGCAAATAAAGCAAACATGCAAACTAAATTTAATACATGAAAGAAACTGGCTATAAGTAATAATTTCTCACCATAAACGTTGTTTTAAGCAGATTGCAGAGTTTCTTGTAAACAAACCACTCTTGCTTGCAGCTTAGAACTCCAGATATGGCTTTCACAGGCTAGACACCTTCTAGCTCGGGTCCAATCCTTTCTTCCACAGATCAGTCTTAGGTGTTGTCAGCTATCATCTTGGGTGGGGATTCAGTGAAGAACTGATCTAGATTAACTCACTTCCCTGCCTTAAATAGGATTTACATAAAGTGGGAATCCTTTGTTTCGCAGTTTGATCCCCACCCCCTATTAGTGGAAAAATACTAGTAGGCCGAGACGGGGTCCAGTACCAGGTGACATGATCACATGACCAGGAAGCTTCTCAGGAAGGTGGGAGATTAGCATCTTCAAAAGTCCTGTTGTTCTTCCTAATGGCCCATTGACTGATTGCATTTTGTCTGGTGGGCATTCCCCAGGTGCAAACACTTTTGTAATTGATACATGGTCAGTATTCCTAACTTCAGATACAGAAATGATACAGGCATACAAGCAGGATAATCATATTCAGTAAATCATAACCTTTCCAATGATACCTCACATAACCCATTTTGCATAAACCACATCTTAGTTATGCCAAAATCATATTTTAACAATATTTCTATGAAGAATATGGGGCTTAGTGTCACATATGCCACCTTCCACCCTGGTCTGTGGTGTAAGGGCCCAAGGAAAGAATGTGTAACCAGGGAAAAGGGGCCATGGCCAGAATGCCACTGGATTCTGGTGATCCTGGGCTGCCTGAACAACCTCTTGGGCCCATGGATGGCTAAGTGCAACTTAGAGTAGCCCTGAGGCTGTTCTAAGTCACACCTGGAGCCAAACAGGCTCCATTATGGCCTCAGGTTGGAGAATCACAGAAGTCATTTAAAGCCATCTTTGCTCCCAACCCCGGGTCCTGCATCAAGCAGAGCTTGGGTGGATTGGAGGACCCAGTCCAATATGTTGGTAAAAAAACATTGTTAAATTGAAGTTAAGGTTTTAAATAACTATCAGTTACTTAAGGAAAAAACTCAAGAATATGATTTTCTCAAAAACTAGAAATATTATAAAACCTGTAAATTAAAGGTTAAGGCTACTGTGATACAGCATGGCCAGAGGGCAGCAGGAGCGTACTAGAAGGGAGCCTTATTCCCCGTAGAGGGAAGAAAGTTTGCTATAGACTAATTAAAGCACCTGAAGCCAGTCACATGATAAAAAACCCCTACTTCAATCAGACCAGGAGGAGTTGGAGCAGAGAGCAGTTTGGAGAAGTGCCATGGCTGGCTAGAAGACCAAGACCCGAGGTGAAGAAACACCCGGCTTGTGCAGAGAGAGAGGGCAGGAAGCCCCACAAGCTGAAGAGCAGGAGAGGGAAGTAGCCCAGGGGAAGGAAGCACTAGTTCAAGTGGTTTACCACTATCCCTAGGGCCCTGGGCTGGGACCCGGAGTAGAGGACAGGCCTGGGTCCCTCCCTCTCCACTACCCTTCTTTGGGTTACGAGTGGGACAGTAGATACCCTGTAGATACCAGGGAAAATGTGCCCTGAACCTCCCCCAAAGAAGAGGAAGTGAGGGACCCATCATAATTGTACCGACAATTTGCCACACTATATTTAAACATATTAGAAAGTATGCAAATGTGTAATTAAGGTCACCCAACTTAACTCTGTCCCCTGTACACTGCCAAACTTCCATTGTGAACAATCATTGCATTCTGCTTGTAAATCACACACAATTTGAATGAGTAGCTTTTGATAAAGACTTTAAAAAGTTTGCAGTTTGTGGCTACCGTCATCTAAAATCCACTTTTATTTTGACAAAAAGAAAAGGAGTGCTAGTGGCACCTTAGAGACTAACCAATTTAGGCATCCGATGAAGTGAGCTGTAGCTCACGAAAGCTCATGCTCAAATAAATTAGTTAGTCTCTAAGGTGGCACTCGTACTCCTTTTCTTTTTGCGAATACAGACTAACACGGCTGCTACTCTGAAACCTTTTATTTTGACAGTTTGTCAGTGAAGTCAAGGAACGCTAGAGATTGTGGTTGTAGTGGAGTGGTCACCCCGCTCCAGCCCTGCAGGGGTTAAAACAGCCCAGGGAGAGGGCTGCCTGGGCCAGGCAATAGTAAAAGCAGCCCTGCAGAGGGCTGCGGCTGGGAACTGCTAGGCCGATTGGGGGAAGCAGCCACAGCTGGCCCTTATAAGAGGGCTGTGGGCTAGGAGCTGGAGAAGTCTCACTCTAGTCCTGGAATGGGAAGGGCTAGCTACCTGGGAGTGGAGCAGTGCTGGGAAAGGACAAGGGGAGCTCCAGCCTCGTAAATGATCACACTGCAGGCCTTGGTAAAGGCCCAGAAAAGTACTGGGGCAGCCCGGGGATAGGCAAAGCAGCTGGTCCTAACCCCTTGCCAATGATGAGTGGCCATTACACTGCAGTCTGCCCCAGTGAGTGGGGGTTAGATGATGACTAGCAGTAGCCACTGACGCAAGGTGGGTTTAGAAGGTTGGGGTCTCCCCAGGAAGGGGAGACCCAGAGTGTGGGGGTACTGCTGGGGCAGAACCCCAGGGTAAAGGGCACCAGGGTCTGGGAGGGATACAGATGCCAGTGGCAGGTGAGACACCAGCCTGCAGAGGGCACTCTGAAGGCTGGAAAGAGCTAATTCCTGAGATGACCAGCAGGAGACGCCAAACCAGTGAGTCTCACCTTGCTACAGTGGTTTTGGTTTTATACCGACACACTCATTCAGGATGATGTTGAGCTGTGTACGGGTCTCATGGTTAAGGCAGCTGAATGGTGACATGGGGACCTGGATTCTATCCCTGCTTCTCCCTAGAGTTCCTGTGTGATGCTGGGGAACTCACTTAAACCAACCTTTTTACAGGTGGTCACTAACTGTGTGTTCCTCATTTCCTGGGTGCTTGGCTTGAGATGCTGGGGTCTGATTTGCTGAATACTCACAACTGCACCTGGAGTCAATGGGAGCTGTGCTTTGGACATATTAAGTGCTATGTAAGATTATGTACTTTGAAAAATTGTGGCCCACGGGGTCTCATATTGGGCACCCAAAATTGTGTACTTTTCTCCTTTAATCTCCCTGTGGATCAGTTCTGCATGCATAAAATGGGGATAACACCACTACCTCATCTCTTGGGAAAATAAATTAATCAATGTTTGTTAAGCACTCATACTGTAGTTAAAAGTGCCACAGAAATGCCTACGAGGAAACTAATAGTTTGCAGTAAATAAGTCAGGGGTTACATATAGAGCAACGAGATGAAAACCAGATATTTAGTAGCTGCTCACTAAGGGATCACCAGCCATCCCGTGGCCCTGAGGCAGGGGTCCCATGGAAAAAAATAAGCATTTCCTAACTTTTGAATACTAAGCTTGCAAAGTCAAGCAATGTTCTTTTAACGTATGTGTGTGTGATACTCTTCACAGCTATTAGCGGCTGGAGATATTAGCACTACTACAACCAAAGTTTATGTGGCTGTCCGCCTTCTTGAGAGATATTAGTCCTACCTCCTAGTTAAGGTTTAAGCTATGCTCCTGTTATAATCCTGCATTTAACATTATACAGCTTTGCTAAAGCTATACCAAACATCCCAAAGTTTCACAGGCATGATCTTGTACCAGGGTAGAATTTTTCTGTAAAGTTTAAGGCAAATCGGCAAAGGTGTTGGGGAATAAGGAGGTGAAATCATTTCAGATACTTCCTTTTCTTTTTCTGGCCCACCATAACTCTTTACCACTTTGGCATAGGAAATCACATGGGGAAGCAGTCTAGGGCAGGGTGTCTGGATCTCACATGAAAAAATGTTGTGATATCACATAGATATTTAGTTACCGTAGCAAGGGCTCAGACCTTTTTAAGGGTCACACCAAAGCTTAGGCAGTTTACAGGCTGGACTGCGACTGTAACCCAGTGCGTTACACTGGGCAGCAATTAGCTGGTTCTACCTGGGAAGCTAATGCACAGACACTAAAGCTCTGGGCTTGTCTCATGCTATTCTGTGATAGAGTGTTGTTCCCTAGTACAGCTCAAGTCTTCTTACACAGGACTGAAAGATACTCAGCTGAATTAAACCATGCATTTAATAACAGGTACGATGAGACCAACAAACCGGGACTGGCTGCCAGTCCCTCCTAACATTAGGTGACAAGTTGCCTTGTAAAATCTGCTCCTTAAAACATGCCATGTCTATCCCTGTTTAAAGATATGTTTAATCCAGTGAGCCACTTGCTCAGCTCAAGTCACCCCGTTTGGACCATTCTCCAAAAGAACCTTGATATCATCTCCAAAGGGCATAGCCAGTGGCAATAACCAGCTTCAAACATAGCCAATTCTGGCCTTGCTACAAAACCAACATAGCACTGCTCCATCCCCATAGATAGTCCATCTTCTGCACTAAAGGAGACCAGGTCCTGTGGAAACAAAAAGTGTGCGCGCTCATGCTGGTAACAACTGCATCCAGGGGCAGAACTGAAGTTGCACAGGAAGCTCGAATTCTGGTATTTCCTAAAGCTTGAGAGCTTCACTTTGCAACCTTAATAATGTTCTTTTCATATCGTCTTTTTGCATGTGTGTAGTTTGTTCAATTTTTTAAAAACATCATATTGACACCTACGTGGGTCATTGGCAGGTTTGGAACCTTTAGATCCATTGCATCTTCCACTGCCACTTGCGGTAGCTCACGAAAGCTTATGCTCAAATAAATTTGTTAGTCTCTAACGTGCCAGAAGTCCTGCTGTTCTTTTTGCGCTAACAGAGTAAATGATAGCATAAGAACATAGGAATGGCCATGCCAGCCAGACCAATGGTCCATCTAGCCCAGTATCCTGTCTCTAATAGTGACCGGAGCCAGATGCCTTAGCCCTGGTCTACACTAGGACTGTAGGTCGAATTTAGCAGCGTTAAATCGATTTAAACCTGCACCCGTCCACACAATGAAGCCCTTTATTTCGACTTAAAGGGCTCTTAAAATCGATTTCCTTACTCCACCCCTGACAAGTGGATTAGCGCTTAAATCGACGTTGCCGGCTCGAATTTGGGGTACTGTGGACACAATTCGATGGTATTGGCCTCCGGGAGCTATCCCAGAGTGCTCCATTCTGACCGCTCTGGACAGCGCTCTCAACTCCGATGCACTGGCCAGGTAGACAGGAAAAGAACCGCGAACTTTTGAATCTCATTTCCTGTTTGGCCAGCGTGGCAAGCTGCAGGTGACCATGCAGAGCTCATCAGCACAGGTGACCATGATGGAGTCCCAGAATCGCAAAAGAGCTCCAGCATGGACCGAACGGGAGGTACGGGATCTGATCGCTGTTTGGGGAGAGGAATCTGTGCTATCAGAACTCCGTTCCAGTTTTCGAAATGCCAAAACCTTTCTGAAAATCTCCCAGGGCATGAAGGACAGAGGCCATAACAGGGACCCGAAGCAGTGCCGCGTGAAACTGAAGGAGCTGAGGCAAGCCTACCAGAAAACCAGAGAGGCGAACAGCCGCTCTGGGTCAGAGCCCCAAACATGCCGCTTCTATGATGAGCTACATGCCATTTTAGGGGGTTCAGCCACCACTACCCCAGCCGTGTTGTTTGACTCCTTCAATGGAGATGGAGGCAATACGGAAGCAGGTTTTGGGGACGAAGAAGATGATAGCTCACAGCAAGCAAGTGGAGAAACCGGTTTTCCCGACAGCCAGGAACTGTTTCTCACCCTAGACCTGGAGCCAGTACCCCCCGAACCCACCCAAGGCTGCCTCCTGGACCCAGCAGGCGGAGAAGGGACCTCTGGTGAGTGTACCTTTTAAAATGCTATACATGGTTTAAAAGCAAGCATGTGAAAGGATTACTTTGCCCTGGCATTTGCTGTTCTCCCAGATGTAGTCCTAAAGCCTTTGCAAAAGGTTTCTGGGGAGGGCAGCCTTATTTCGTCCTTCATGGTAGGACACTTTACCACTCCAGGCCAGTAACACGTACTCGGGAATCACTGTAGAACAAAGCATTGCAGTGTATGTTTGCTGGCATTCAACCAAAATCTGTTCTTTATCTCTCTGTGTTATCCTCAGGAGAGTGAGATATAATTCATGGTCACCTGGTTGAAATAGAGTGCTTTTCTTCAGGGGACACTCAGAGGAGCCCATTCCTGCTGGGCTGTTTGCCTGTGGCTAAACAGAAATGTTCCCCGCTGTTAGCCACAGGGAGGGGAGAAGGTTGAGGGGGTAGTCACGCGGTGGGAGGAGGCAAAATGCGACCTTGTAACGAAAGCACATGTGCTATGTATGTAATGTTAACAGCAAGGTTTACCCTGAAAGAGTGTAGCAACTGTTTTATAAAATGTGTCTTTTTAAATACCGCTGTCCCTTTTTTTTTCTCCACCAGCTGCATGTGTTTCAATGATCACAGGATCTTCTCCTTCCCAAAGGCTAGTGAAGCTTAGAAAGAAAAAAAAACGCACTCGCGATGAAATGTTCTCCGAGCTCATGCTGTCCTCCCACACTGACAGAGCACAGACGAATGCGTGGAGGCAAATAATGTCAGAGTGCAGGAAAGCACAAAATGACCGGGAGGAGAGGTGAAGGGCTGAAGAGAGTAAGTGGCGGGCTGAAGACAGGGCTGAAGCTCAAATGTGGCGGCAGCGTGATGAGAGGAGGCAGGATTCAATGCTGAGGCTGCTGCAGGACCAAACCAGTATGCTCCAGTGTATGGTTGAGCTGCAGCAAAGGCAGCTGGAGCACAGACTGCCACTGCTGCCCCTCTGTAACCAACCGCCCTCCTCCCCAAGTTCCATAGCCTCCACACCCAGACGCCCAAGAACGCGGTGGGGGGGCCTCCGGCCAACCAGCCACTCCACCACAGAGGATTGCCCAAAAAAAAGAAGGCTGTCATTCAATAAATTTTAAAGTTGTAAACTTTTAAAGTGCTGTGCTTAAAGTGCTGTGTGGCATTTTCCTTCCCTCCTCCACCACCCCTCCTGGGATACCTTGGTAGTCATCCCCCTATTTGTGTGATGAATGAATAACGAATGCATGACTGTGAAGCAGAAATGACTTTATTGCCTCTGCAAGCAATGATTAAAGGGAGGAGGGGAGGGTGGTTAGCTTACAGGGAAGTAGAGTGAACCAAGGGGCGGGGGGTTTCATCAAGGAGAAACAAACAGAACTTTCACACCGTAGCCTGGCCAGTCATGAAACTGGTTTTCAAAGCTTCTCTGATGCGTACCGCGCCCTCCTGTGCTCTTCTAACCGCCCTGGTGTCTGGCTGCGCGTAACCAGCAGCTAGGCGATTTGCCTCAACCTCCCACCCCGCCATAAACGTCTCCCCCTTACTCTCACAGATATTGTGGAGCACACAGCAAGCAGTAATAACAGTGGGAATATTGGTTTCGCTGAGGTCTAAGCGAGTCAGTAAACTGCGCCAGCGCGCCTTTAAACGTCCAAATGCACATTCTACCACCATTCTGCACTTGCTCAGCCTGTAGTTGAACAGCTCCTGACTACTGTCCAGGCTGCCTGTGTACGGCTTCATGAGCCATGGCATTAAGGGGTAGGCTGGGTCCCCAAGGATACATATAGGCATTTCAACATCCCCAACAGTTATTTTCTGGTCTGGGAATAAAGTCCCTTCCTGCAGCTTTTGAAACAGACCAGAGTTCCTGAAGATGCGAGCATCATGCACCTTTCCCGGCCATCCCACGTTGATGTTGGTGAAACGTCCCTTGTGATCCACCAGAGCTTGCAGCACTATCGAAAAGTACCCCTTGCGGTTTATGTACTCGGCGGCTTGGTTCTCCGGTGCCAAGCTAGGGATATGGGTTCCGTCTATAGCCCCACCACAGTTAGGGAATCCCATTGCAGCAAAGCCATCCACTCTGACCTGCACATTTCCCAGGGTCACTACCCTTGATATCAGCAGATCTTTGATTGCGTGGGCTACTTGCATCACAGCAGCCCCCACAGTAGATTTGCCCACTCCAAATTGATTCCCAACTGACCGGTAGCTGTCTGGCGTTGCAAGCTTCCACAGGGCTATCGCCACTCGCTTCTCAACTGTGAGGGCTGCTCTCATCTTGGTATTCATGCGCTTCAGGGCAGGGGAAAGCAAGTCACAAAGTTCCATGAAAGTGCCCCTACGCATGCGAAAGTTTCGCAGCCACTGGGAATCGTCCCAGACCCGCAACACTATGCGGTCCCACCAGTCTGTGCTTGTTTCCCGAGCCCAGAATCGGCGTTCCACAGCATGAACCTGCCCCATTAGCACCATGATGCATGCATTGTCAGGGCCCATGCTTTCAGAGAAATCTGTGTCCATGTCCTGATCACTCACAGGACCGCGCTGACGTCGCCTCCTCGCCCGGTATCGCGTTGCCATGTTCTGGTGCTGCATATACTGCTGGATAATGCGTGTGGTGGTTAATGTGCTCCTAATTGCCAAAGTGAGCTGAGCGGCCTCCATGCTTGCCTTGGTATGGCGTCCGCACAGAAAAAAGGCGCGGAACGATTGTCTGCCGTTGCTCTGACGGAGGGAGGGGCGACTGACGACACGGCTTACAGGGTTGGCTTCAGGGAGCTAAAATCAACAAAGGGTGTGCCTGTACATCAAGGAGTATTTCAGGCAGGACTGCACGGAGGGTTCCAATAAGAAATGGTGCACCTAAGTTATTGTTATTGGAACAAGGAGGTTAGCCTGGCCTCTGATTGATACATGGCTAGATTTACCTCGCTGCACCTTCTCTGTGAGTGACTGCAGTGTGATCTAGACAGGGGAGGAGGCAAATGAGTACAAAACAAATCTGGTCTATTTCTTGTTCTGACCCACTCCATCTATCTTTTACATCTTTGGCTGGCAGCAGACAGTGCAGAAGGACTGCATGCCATCCACATCTCATGGCTGCTCGGCAGAAGATGGTACAGTACGACTGCTAGCCATCTTCATCTCTTGCCTGCCTGGCATAAGATGGTACAATACGACTGCTAGCAATCCTCATCTCTTGCCTGCCTGGCAGAAGATGGTACAGTACGACTGCTAGCAGTCCGTATCGCCTGCCCGCTCACCATAAGACGGTTCAATAGGACTGACTGCAGGACTAAAGAGAATGACCTGGTCAAGTCACTCCAAATTTAGTCCCTGCGCCCATGTCTGCCCAGGCACTCCCAGCCGACGTGGCCAGGAGCACCTCGGACACGAAGAGGACGATTACCAGTCGTATTGCACCATCTGCTGCCAGAAGGCAATGGGTTGCTGCTACTGTGCAGCAAAGCCGTACCGCGTCTGCCAGCACCCAGGAGACATAGGGTGATGGTTACCTGAGCGGGCTCCATGCTTGCCGTGGTATGGCGTCTGCACAGGTAACTCAGGAAAAAAGGCGCGAAATGATTGTCTGCCCTTGCTTTCACGGGGGGAGGGAGGGAGGGAACGGGGGGCTGACGATATGTACCCAGAACCACCCGCGACAATGTTTTAGCCCCATCAGGCATTGGGATCTCAACCCAGAATTCCAATGGGCAGCGGAGACTGCGGGAACTGTGGGATAGCTACCCACAGTGCAATGCTCCGGAAGTCAATGCTTGCCTCGGTACTGTGGAAGCGCTCCGCCGAGTTAATGCACTTAATGCACTTAGAGCATTTTCTGTGGGGACACACACACTCGAATATATAAAACCGATTTCTAAAAAACCGACTTCTATAAATTCGACCTAATTTCGTAGTGTAGACATACCCTTAGAGGAAATAAACATAACAGAGCATTATCGAATGATCCATCCCCTGTCATCCAGTGTCTAGCAGTTGGATGTTTAGGGACACCCAGAGCATGGGGTTGTGTCCCTGACCATCTTGGCTAATAGCCATTGATGGACCTATCCTCCATAAACATATCTAATTGTTTTTTGAACCCAGTTATAGTCTTGGCCTTCACAGCATTCTCAGCAATGAATTCCACAGGTTGGCTATGTATTGTGTGAAGAAATACTTCCTTTTGTTTGTTCATTTGTTAAACCTTCTGCCTATTAATTTCACTGCGTAACCCCTGGTTCTTGTATTATGTGAAGGGATAAATAACACTTCCCTGTGCACTTTCACCACACCATTCCTGATTTTATAGACCTCTATTGTATTCCCCCACTTAGTTGTCTTTTTTCTAAATTGAACAATCCCAGGCTTTTTAATCTGTCCTCGTATGGAAGCTGTTCCATACCCCTAATCATTTTTGTTGCCCTTAGAATCATAGAATATCAGGGTTGGAAGGGACCTCAGGAGGTCATCTAGTCCAACCCCCTGCTCAAAGCAGGACCAATCCCCAATTTTTGCCCCAGATCCCTAAATGGCCCCCTCAAGGATTGAACTCACAACCCTGGGTTTAGCAGCCAATGCTCAAACCACTGAGCTACCCCTCCCCCTTCTCTGCACCTTTTCCAGTGCTAACAGATTTTTGAGATTGAGTGACCAGAACTGCATGCAGTATTCAAGATGTAGGCATAGCATTGATTTATATAATGACATAATAAAACAGAATCTCATCATCTGTCCCTTTTCCTAATTGTTCCCAACATTCTGTTAGCTGTTTTGACTGCTGCTGCACATTGAGCCAATATTTTCAGAGAACTATCCACAATGACTCCAAGATCTTTCTTGCATTGTAACAGTTAATTTAGACCCAATCATTTTGTATGTATAGTCTTGATTATGTTTTCCATTACTTTTTGCATTTATCAACAGTGAATTTCACCTGCCATTTTGTTGCCCAGTCACCCAGTTTTGTAAAATCCTTTTGAAACTCTTTGCAGTCAGCTTTGGCCTTAACTATTTTGAGTAATTTTGTATCTTCTGCAAACTTTACCACCTAATTGTTCACCCTTCTTTTCCAGATCTTTTGTGAATATGTTGAACAGCCTGGTCCCAGTACAGATTCTTCGGGGGGAACCTTGTATTTTCCACAGTGTGAAAACTGACCATTTATTCCTGCCCTTTGTTTCCCATCTTTTAACCAATTACTGATCCATGAAAGGACCTTCCCTCTTATCCCATGACTGCTTACAAGCATTTGGTGAGGTACCTTGTCAAAGACTTTTTGAAAGTCCAAGTAAAATGTATCGACTGGGTCACCCTCTTCTTCATGCTTGTTGACAACCTCAAAGGATTCTAATAGATTGTTGAGACATGATTTCCTTTACAAAAGCTGTGCTGACTCTTCCCCAAAAGATCGTGCTTATCTATGTATCTGATCATTCTGTTCTTTACTATAGTTTCACCTTGTTTGCCTGGTACTCAAGGTAGGCTTACCAGCCAGTAAATGCCAGGATCGGCTCTATTTCCTAGCAGTAGTAGGTTGTCATCCTTTATGTGAGTCAGATTTACTGGAGGTTAAGGCACTTTTCCAAAGGGTTTCACAGATATTTGCTGACTGCAAAGGAATAATGAGACTTGGGAATAATCAGATTTTGGAAGGAAGCATGCTCTTGTGAGCACAGACTATTCTGCCAGTTTACCCCAAGCTTGATCCCCTTCTGCATCTTCTCCCCCAGTCCTGTCTCTTCTCCACTTCTGTCTTCCCACCCCACTCCCAATTTCCTTGCCTTGCCAGTCCTAGTCTCCCCTGCAGGACTCCCATCCCAGTCTCAGTGCCAAGCTGTTCTCCCCTCTATTCCCCCCCACTCATAGATTCCTAGGCCAGAAGGAACCACTGTGATCTTCCAGTCTGACCTCCTGTATAACACAAGACATGGGTCTCTACTGAATTAATTCATATCTGGAAAAATATGCATCTTGATTTAAAAATGGCCAGAGATGGAGAATCCACCATAACCCTTGGTAAATTATTTCATTGGTTAATCACCCTTACTGTTAAAAATGTGTGCCTTATATCAAGTCTGA